GTTTAGGAGGCATAATGGTATCTAAATCGCGTTTCAAGGGGTTAGCTGGCTGTGATACCAGGCCTTGATTTCCTTCATCTCACGATAGGTAAATAGGCCCTACTTTGACCGCTTACATGCGTTAATTTGATGCTAATTAAATCCGCATGTAAGCGGTTAATTTCGAGCGAATCGTTAAGTCCCCAATGATCTGAAAAGCGGGAGAATGTGACCCGCTCAAGGTCTGGGAAAGACCTACTGCTGACCACTTGGACAACTTTCTCGACTTCCTCTTTCTTCCAACGTTGGCGAGCAAGAATCTTGGGTATCTGACCAATTTAGTATACACCAAATATCCGAGGATACTACTGAAACATACAACGCTAAGAAAGATTAAACTTAGCCTTACCACACCATTGTTAAGAGCTTTTGCAATCTTACGGAGTTTCACGAGGCCGCAGTTTGAACACTCAGACGATGGACCGTTCCCCACTACGAAACCCCGATAAAGCCATCTTTGCGGTGAGAAAGGTTGTCCAACTGCATCCTCCCATTTACCAAAGAAGAGGAATGGCATGTGCCGTTGATATGGGAAAGGAGCAGTACTTGCTAACATGGGAGGGTGTTTTTAACGAGGACGATCGTGACCTTATCAATGAGAAGTCAGTGAAATTTAATCGGAGGTCGAAAACCTTTTCGACCATGGATTTAGAAATATCAAAGATTAAGCAAGCTGGTAGTTGTTCGTTTATTTCAGTAGATAAGGGTCTACAACATGGCGATGCACTCACGGTGGAAATTCCAGGAAGTGACGTAACTACTAATGATGTCTGTGCACAGTCATTCGTCGGAAGGAACAAATCTTTGACGATTAATTTCAAGTACAACCAAAAAAAGGGAAGGCATGAACTTGTCTCTTTTAAAGGGAAGGATTGTGCCATCGAGAAATCTGACGTCCTCGGATCACCTATCATTTCAAACAAGTGTGTCATCGGTGTGGTGGGAGAGGATGATAATAGACGAATTATTCCCTATTTCATATCACGGACAGAGCTTGGTGAGTTAAAATGTTTTATGACTCTTAGACTCGAGGACATTTGTTTTATATTGTCCACTTTGCCCATTTCCATCCTTCAAGGTCTGTAACAAAGTTTTTAGTACCTCTAAGTCACTTGACAGTCTTAAGGAGCGAATTATGATACCCACTATACCGATCTGCGTGAGGAACGAATTTAGCTCTACGATACTAAAATAATATTTAAAGCTTTAAGTTTGATTTTCGTATTGGGTGAACTGTATGCCTGTGTGAAAATGAAGTTCCAAAATTCTTTACTGCCCCAGGCTGCAACTCCAATTCTTTCCATAGTCTTTGTGAGAAATGTTTAGTCATTTCAGTGTAAGTTTATTAGTCTACCAATCATTTCTCAAAGAAGCAAAGTTCTTTTTTTCTGAAAGTTGTGAAAGGTAGTGACAAAAAGTTATCTAACCAAAAAGGTGTCGTTATCACAACAAGACTAAACCATTGATAATGAAGGCTATTGTAATTATTATCCTACAAATATTTTTCAGTGTGGGTGGGATGTTCACTATTTGGTGTTCTCTGATTTGAAAAAAACAAGAAAAACATGCTCCTTCCTCTGTTTCAGTCTGTAACACTTTCTCATGAATGATATTTTAAGCACTAAGTTTTCTGTACTGGATGTACGGTTTTAAAAATTGGGGAATATCCCTTGAGGTATATCCTTGGTTATCTCCCATGTTTTTTAAATGGAGGATTATTCCATCATCAAAAGTATTTGTTGAGTTATAATTATTATTTTAATAATTACAATAATCTACCTGATAAATGTGAAAAAAGTAAAGCTTTGTTTTGTGCCATCCAATTTATCAGCATGCATGTAATAATTAACAAATGGTAAACACCACAGCGTACACTATTGAGTTATGGATGCATGCGGGAGGTTGCTAAGCACGAAAGAAGCGTAAGAGTCGCTCCAGGCGATAGCCGAGAGTGACTCTAGCTTCTTGAGTGCT